ACCTGCAGGATACACTGCTCTGTTTGGGGTTCCGATATTTCCAGAATAGAACTCAGGAAAATGTACCCGAGTGGACGAGCCACACCCCTCGACTATTGGAGCTACTCGGTGTAAGTTGTTCTCCTTGTGCTGAATAGCTTGTTGAACCTAAAATAAATTACAAATCATATGGCCAACGCTCTTTTTCATATTTTGCACCACTTGTTTGGTATAGGCTTCCAAAAACTATCACAGAAGGAGAAAATCTAGAAATGTTTAAGAAGAAACTAAAAGCATTTCTATTTTCATCATATTTCGATTAGACAGAATCCATCCAAGCTGTAGATCGTTGTGAGTTTGTGTGTGCGTATGTGCGTATGTACGTTTGTGTGTAAGTGTGTATGCTTATGTGTATGTGTGTGTGGTGCGTGCGTGCGTGAATATGTGTGGGCACACGTATGTAACACTATGTACCTTTAAAATTGATTTGTATATCCATAATATGTATCATGTTAAGCGCATAGAGCATTGCATAAGTGGATATGCTCTATATAAATGCAATCCATTATTATTATTATTATTACTGGTCGTAGCCTATTTTGTACTCAGAATTATGTCCAAAATTGGATTGTCGAAGCCCAAAGGGTTTGTGCACTAAACAAAACCAATGGCTCCTAAGCAAAATAACAATGAGCAAATAATAGTAGATAGCATTTGTATAGCGCATATCAGCGCTCAACAGCAGGCTCTATGCGTTTTACACTACATTTTTACCCCAGCAGACAATAGAACACTCCGAAACATTCTCAGCTTCCCGGGAAGCATACAGTGCAAGCAGCTAATTAAGCGCTCAAACGCTAACAAACTGACAAACTCTTTCGCTATCTATAGCCGGGTACCCATTCCCACCTGGGTGAAGTGAGAAAAATTCGTGTAAAGTGTCTTTCCCAAGGACACAACGTCTGGCCCTTGACGGGATTCGAACCCACGACCTTACGGTTGCGAGTCCGAGAGCCTAACCACTAGGCCACCGCCGCCAGATATAATGTTAAGTCCAAGTTAGCGTGGTATTTGTGATTGCTCTTTTTTCTGTTTTGTTTGAAAATATTGAGAAAAAATATTATAGTCATAAAATATTGCTTATTGCAAAGACAAAGTTCTCCTTTCATTGGATATGCAAATTATGTCCGTTCTATCAATATTCATGCTCCTCAATACACGCGCGAAGACGATTTTTCGTTTCTTTGCTTTCACACAATTTGGCCAAGCCTGCTTTTT